GAAAACATCAAGATGCAATGATGTGGAATATTTCCATATATTTGGCCGACGAAATAAGTATTAAACGAAGAGTCACGTGGGCTTCATGGACTTTATTGCTAAGGGAAGCCTAACTAATAAGAAAATATTAGTGGGTTTAATGAGCTTAGGGTTTTTCTCATTGGAGTATAAAGCGAGCAAAGCATGATAGAGAGAGGTTGCGCGTCTAGGGTTTATTGAAGATGCACATGGATGTATGTGAGGTCGTTCTACCAGACAGTTAAGAGATCTGTTAGTAGTTTAGTTATAGAGAACTATGCTTGTCAAGAGAATAAAATGAGTAGTAGTTGCTCTCATCGTTGTAATTCTAGATTAGATTGGTAGGAACGGATGTGTGTTTGATACCATAAAGCAATTTTGTTTGTGTTATATTCTAGTGAATGAGTTCTGGACATGGTCTCAGGGATGTAGGAAACCAACCTCATTAACAAATCTCTATGTGTCTCTTTACTTTATGCTCTTGCATACTAGCACATGAACACAATCACATGCTGATAGATATATTAGCCATGAATCTGTTCTTTCAATTCGTATGCTTCAGAAAGTGTTACAGAAACTGATTTAAAATGTAGATCTTTTTGCTGAGTATCAGGTTCTCTTTGGTCAATTTGCTAAACCCAGTGAAGAAAATATGCAGCTGATCAAAGATAAAGCAAGGCTGGAAGCACAAAGGAATATTCTAGAGTCTGAAAACAACAATAAATCATAGATTGGGATGTCAAAAGAAGAGAATGAGTTTTGCTTACATAGTCTACATAAGACAATCTCTGAACATGCCTACAATCTAAAGAGTGTGGAGACTAAATATGAGCAGACAAAACAGCTACTGAATGAGGAACTTGAGAAAAATCAGCTACTGCAAAGAGAACTCAGTGAAAATTACAAAAAAATTAAGGATGTTGAATAAAGGATCTGAAACTTGATCTTATCACTTGGACAATCCCCAATGGCGAACTGGGAGGATTTGTATCCTAAGTTTACGAAATGTGTGTCACACGAGCATACCAGTGTGTCATACACTAGAATGGATGATAAATATACTGAGCCTGAAGAACCAGTTCGATAGTCTAGGAGGTATTAAGGGTTTTGATGGTCCAACAAGTATCATGAAGTTTTTCACAGAGTTTTCACTCAAGAAGTTGATTTCAGGGGTAGTTTGAAATTTATTTTGATGGGAGATATGATGCACATTATGCTTAGAGAGTAGTGAGCTTGAGTTGTAAATGACCAACAAACATTAGAGATAACCGACCAATAATTTAAATAACCAACAAACATTAGAAATAACCGGATAATTATAAGATTGGTATACAATGTGGCCAAATATGTGCATTCTATTGGTAATTTCATAAGTTGGTTCAGAACAACTCATGGCTACTTATGTTTTACCAATATTGTAGCTTGAGTTGTAATATTGATGTGTGTTTTCGTAGCCGGCTAACTATAACAAAAAAACTAATTAATCTATTAACTAGTTATTTCAAAAATTACATCACTATTAAAGAAAATGAAATATATTTCAAAGAACAACAACAACTAAGAGGAAGAACATTATTCAGGTACTTTATTCTTAACTGACTCTTGTCTTCTGAATTGGCCCATCAGAGATTGTACTTGACACGGTAATTTGGTAGAGACGACAGTAAATTATGATGGTTCGAAAGGAAACAGTTGTTGAAACGTGAGGTTAGAAGGATATTTCTTTTACCAAAAACCTCAAAAATCTGATGGAGAGTAGCAGAAGAGGTGGTGGATTCCACACTCCTCTGTGCAACCACATCGAAAAAAACTTTTTCTTATGCATTTGATTAAGTATATGAATACATTGAGAAAGATGAAAAAATTTGGATCGAATTGAAAAATAGTTTTAAATTTACAAACTATTTAGGAACTGATTTTTTCAAAGAAAAAGAGATGGAGAAGATTACAAGAAGATAAGGAACATAAAGATAGAGAGAGAAGAGATGAAAAGAACAAGAAAGAGAAGAAGATAATGTTTTTTTTTTAATTATTGGATTTATCATTTATGATTTATTTACATCTGCACAATATTTTACAGTAAACAATCGAAAGGGTTACTAATGTCTTTTTACACCTATAAGTATTAGGCCTGTAGCTATTTTCCATCTCTGCAAATTTTATGACTATTGAGTAATTTGTATGCAAATGACTCCAAAATTTATTAGTTTTATATAATCTTCTATTTTTTTATTGGTTGAAAAATGATTAGGTGTATAGGTAACTGTGTTTTTATCTTGAAAATATGTAAAATTAAATGTTTTCTTAATATGTGTGCAAAAACCTAGAATGACAACTAAGGTGAAACGGAGGAAATATAACTTCTAAAATTATTCTAGATTTTAATTTATTATTATAATCAATATCTATGTAAATGTATTATATATAATTGTGTAGTTTTTGTAAAAATAATATCAATTAACCCGCCTTGCCCGACCAGCCTGATCGGCAAATAATAAATTTTATCTGCATCCGCCCCAGTTAATTTTGTGGATAATCCGCAGGACCTATGGATAATTATTAATAATAAAAATAAATATTTTTTTTATTTTTTAAATAATATTAAATAGTATATTTTTAATTAATTTTTTATATTTTAAAAAAATAATTATTTGAAGGAAATTTAGTATATTTTGAAAAATAATTTTTTTTTTTTTTTGCGGATTACCTGATACTCACAATTGAAATTAGAAAAATCCGCATTTGTCCCACGTAAAATATATTTGACATGCACCTGTAACCGCAACTTAGTTTTTTTTTTTTAATATCGATTGATCCGTTCTGTGGTGGGTCGAATGGGTCAAGACCAGCGGACTAATAATTAGAAGTTGAATTTGACTCATTAATAAAACTAATTAGTATATAGTTTTTAGGCTCAGAATAAAAAGACCAAATTGTCATTAATGAAAAATTAAATTTGTTCATAATATTAAGGTTATTTTTTCATTAAAGGGAGTGATCGTGATTTAATGATATTGATTTCAAACCAAACCTAAAACCAATTTTTCTTTTGTCATTACTATTTACCCATGAAATTTCTAAACCCTCTTTATATTTTTGAAACATTTACAAAATTGACATTTTTATTAAATTCTTAGTTCTATTGAACCAAAAAAACCAATTACACCCTGAACATTTTTTGTATTTACAGCAATGTCGTTAACATCAACTTTTTAACAACCATGAAATACCAGATTTAATTTCTAACCATTTTTTCTCTTTCTAAACCAAAAAATATTTGTTTCCTCTTTACTTTCATTGAAAAAAATTCTTTAACTTTCATTCGCATAAGCATAACTTTCATATTTTCGAGTTTATTTACTTGTGAATTGACAAAGATGTTTCATTATGCTCGTATTTGGAGCTTGGACGGTGGAAAAGGGTGGAAACAATTTTTTCACTGGAAAATGTAATTATTTACATAGTTTTGTCATTTTTTCAGATATGTGTCGGGATCGTAGATTTTTCTGTATGTCTACGCATAGGTGTAAACTACGATGCAATCTATTTGTCAATGCACGGGTCATAGTTGGATGTATGTCTACGCATAGGTGTAAACTTACGCATAGGTGTAAACTTACGATGCAATCTCAACCCTAAGTGAGCCCTAACCCTTTTAGAATCCATCAAACTATGTAAAATAGGGTTGAACTCTCCTTAACCATTTGTGAGCCCTTTTATTTTATTTTTATGTAAACACATTTTACTATATAATGTCTCACTTAATATCAATACTATTAAAACTGAAGGTCTTATTTAAAGTGTATATATGTTTTGAAAGTAATTACAGCACATTACTACTGGAATATTTTAAAGCTATGGTTTTGATTAAATCTTTTATTTTCTAAACAAAAGAATTGAAAAAATCATAATAAATTCAAAAAGATATTCCTTTTTGCTCTCCTATTTTATTTACGTAATATATATAAGCATTTATTTACTCTTTCAATTATAATTAACGCAATATGTATCAACTACACCATCTTTTAGGTTTTAACAGAAACGTTTTTGCATAAGATATTCTATTCCTATATACCTACGAAACTGGTCCGTCGGATTGTTTAAATTAAAAACCAGAGTCTCTTCTTCTTCTTCATTTCTCTCTCGATTCTCTTTGTTAACTTCGACGAAACCGGGCCTCGCCTCCTCTCCCGCCAATCTCCGACGTCCGAGCCTCCTCTCCTGCCGATCTCCGACGTCCGCGCCTCCTCTCCATCCGACGAATCTGCTGTCGTCGCCTCCTCTCTCTCTTGAAACCATGTAAGAGATCCTAAACCCTCTCTCTTGAATAGATATTCAGATTGAATAGATTTGTGGATGATAATTTGGTAGTTTTAGGATTGAACTGAATAGATTTTTGGATTGAAATCATAGTTTTAGGATTGAATTGATTATAATTTTGGTTTTAGGTTGTAGATTGACATATAATTTAGGTTTTAGATGATTATTTGTTTTTTCTGAATTTTATATGTTAAAAATATTTTATAAAACGTTTAGATAGGTTTTAAAATATATTTACAATCATTTTATTCAATTTCTATTATATAAAAACGTTTTCAAAAATTGTAAATTTTTTTAAGAATTGTAAAACTTTTTAAAAAGATAAATAAAATTATATATGTTATAATAAACATATATATATATATATATATATATTAATTTTAAATATAATCATAATATTTTGTTAACTAAAAATGTATTCAATTGTATGCTTTTTATTTAATTATATGTTTTTATATTTATATATATCGAGTAATGTTTAAATTTTTATTTTTTTCGCAGGTCCGAGCCTAGACCATCATCACTTCGCCGCGGTCTACCTCTTGGAGTTCGTTCTGGGAGTACTTCCCGTGTATCGGAATCTTCGCAAGAGCAAAATTATATTCCTCCTCCAGCACCTCCAGCAGCGGTGTTTAATCCAAACGCTCACTATGAGCCGGGCCATGCCGGTTGAGCTTTTGGTTCAACAACCACGCCGAGAGAACCTCCGGGTTCTCCATCTCGAACCACGAGGATACACTACTTTGTATATACATTTCTCCATTTGTAATTAATATATTTAAATTTTTTTTTTATTTCAATTTTAACTAAATATTTGTTCTTTTTTAAGGTTCAACAAGTCAAACAACGGCATTAGCAGACGCATTAACCAAATGATGTATTCTATGCTTCGTAGAGGATACGAGACCTACTGTGTGATGCCCAGAGATGAACAAGAGTTATGGTTCCATAATTTTGCGGTAATTTTTAAAATTCTGTGAATTTTGTTATATTTATTTTAATTATAAATTTACTTAATTTCTCTTTTTTTCAGAAACAATTCGATTGGGAGTTGGGACATACCGAAACGGTCCGACAGCAACAATTCAATTTTGAAAGAGTTTCACCTGATTATACTCTAGTTTCACTAAGTTACTCTAGTTTCACCAAATTCCACAAATACGAAACTGAAATTTTGTAAGAGTTTCACCTGATTATACTCTAGTTTCACTAAGTTACTCTAGTTTAACCAAATTCCACAAATACGAAAGTGAAGTTTTGTAAGAGTGTCACATGATTATACTCTGGTTTCACGAAGTAATACGATGTTGAAGGTAAAACGGTTCCAAGTTAAGTAATACATTGGGTAAGTCTTGAACAAACACGAAACAATTATCACATTATCTAAACACCACAGGGGATTTCACACCTACTTCCCTTTACCTTTCTTGCTGGGCTTCCTTCTATGGGTACTTGCCTTCTTGGTGGTACATGTCTTCTTCTGCGTAGTTGCATTCTTCTTCTGGGTACTTGCCTTCTTTTGCGCACTTTCCTTCTGCTTGGAAATTTCCTTCTGACTGCGTCTTGTCCCAATGGGACTCCTCACATTTTTCGGTTTTTCCTTTTCGCTTTTTTTGCAAAACCTCCTTCTTGTCCATCCTCGATACTTTTCTTCTTCTTAGTGTTCCTCTCGGTTTCCACATCCCCACTTTCATTTTCCTTCTCACCAGCCATGTCCTCATCCTTAAAACCACCATCTTCTTTTTTTTTCTTCCAGGTCATCATCTTTCGAACCACCATCTTCTTCTTCTACAATGTCATCATCCTTGGAACCACTATCTTCTTCCTCTTCAAGATCATCATCCTTGGTACCACCATCTTCTTCTTCGAGGTATCATCCTTGGAATCACCATCTTCCTCATCATTACACCCACCATAAAGAATCTGCATTTTCGTAGCAATATCGAGAACACCACCATTGGTCCCATCGGGAACATGACCAGCGGAACTATCGGAAACCCTCTTCGTAAGCCTCCTCACTTATTTTTCTAGAGGAGTTAGCCAGTTACCCAATGAATCGATTTTTTTTAAATTTCCTTCAAACCATCTCGGATTGCATTCATAAGCCGAACTTCGAGCAATTTTAAATCCTCAACTCCAGTAGCCTCCACAGATTATGATTCTTTAATAGCAGGAATGGTGGGAGCTTCGACCGAAGGTGTAGGTGGACGGTTACGAGCAGCCACATCGATGTTGAATTTTTTTTTTTTTAAAGTGTTTCTTCCCTTCTTGTATTATATTCGTCCAACAAACTGCTGCATCATCGTCGTCATCGGCCCAACAAGCGTCCTTCTCCATCCCTATTCTTTTCAGAAGTTCCTTCTCAGCCTCTGTTACTACCAATATACTCTCAATATCCTGTGGCTGCAAATAATACAAACTTATTTTCTCCTTAATTCAACTTATTCTATAACATTATTCTTTATTACCTTAGTTTCACCAAGTTGCTCGTTCATTGCATTCAGACTGTATGCCTTCGTTCAACCTTTGCATTTGTACTACATCTTGCACATCCGCGGGCAATCATCGTGTGCATTTTTCACATTTTCTCGGAAATGGTTCCTCAAGCTTGGAATTGCCTCAAATGCCAACAATTACACACAAACAACAACATCATTACCATAAAATTAACGAATTTATTATCCTCAGAAAAGGAAGAGCTAGAGAATACCTCCAAAGGAACAAGAAAGCTTGTAAATACCCAGCTTGTCGGAACCTCCCCTTTGCACTTCTCCAAGAAGCTAAATACGTCCTTCAAGTTGTGTTCGAATGCATACCGCCTCCAAGGGAACTTTAAGCACGCATCGAAGTCATCAACAATAGTCAGGAAGAAACTGTCCACAGGTGATGCTCCCCCTCCAGTCTTTCAGCCTCCAACGAGGATGCTGGCTAAGAAGTACAAAATAGCCATCTTCTGACGATCCAGACTTGGCTTTCCTTTCATTTCCAACATCTTCTTCTCCACCTCAGCATATGTAACTCTTTTCCCTTCAAAATACTTGTTCATGAAGGATGTACTACCCAAGCTCTCATAGTTTGGCGGATACTTATGGCAGTATAGTCCAGAGATAAGTCAGAATTATCTGAGAGAGTATCAGGTTGGGACACCATTAACAATAAACCATAACTCAGTCTTCTTCGCTGTCGAAGCTGAACGCAAAACAAGAATCCACATTCCCATTCACTTCTGCTTTCGGTTTTTTATATGGAAGAAATGTTGGAACTGTGGGTCATCTAAGAACAAGTCCACCTCCTTCTGTTTCAGGATCTTTTGTATATTTGTTAGCGCCGAGTCGATGAACCATTTTCCTGAAAGCTTAACACCCTTATGATACGGGTTTGAAGTAAAGCGAAACTTAAGTGGTTGCATGGCTACGTCATCTCCAACCTGCAGTGGAGTGAAAACCGGATCACGTACGAAATAAACTTCAAGTTTTTCTTACTTTCACGAGCGTTGTGAATTGATACAATTGAAGTTCAACTTAGTTTTACAAAGTTCTTCATACATTAATTTGTCACTCAATATTACGCTTACTCCAAATCACTTTATTTTACACAGTTATACTATCTTAAAGTAATGAATAAAACGGGAATAAAACCTACATTTGCATGCGTCTCAATTTGATTTAGTCGACCTGCTTTGGTGTCACCCCCCCCCCCTCTCTTCAGCTTCTTCGTCATTTTGTCTGGATTCCAATTCAACTCCTTCTTCGACTTCCTTCTCTTCCTCCTATCCGAGTTCCTTGTCTTCTTCACCGGCTTCCTTCTCTTCCACTTTATCACTTGATTTTTCTTCTGCATCTAGGGGAGGTTCCTCGGTTCCTTGTTCGACAGATTTGTCGATGGTGCTTGCGTTTATGACCTCATCTCCGATTAGTTCTCCGCTTCCACATGTAACCACAGTGGTTTCTTCAACTACACTAATAGCCCTGTCTTCTTTCGTCTTCGGATTGACTTGGTTCAACATTATTACGGTTTTGAGAGAATTGGTGAGAATGAGTGAGAGACAGGGAAACCGACCTAGTGAAACCTTTGAAAGCTTTCCTTTATTACTGTGAAACGTATTTGAGAATTATAACTTATTCTGGAATTAGAGATCCGATTTTTGTGGGTCGGTCTTTGATTTGGGTTTGGATAGTCTTAGGTAGGATTGTAATTACCCAACTTTCCCACTGGTAGTAGAACCTAAGAGGCAATCATATATTTTGGATGATGAAGATTTGTTTGTGTATTTGACATCAGTGGATAAAGAGGGAAGAAGGAGTATTATGCATGTAGAGGTCATCAAAAACATGGAAATAGTTCCAATAACGGAACAAAAATCAAGAGTTGAGAAAGAAAGCTCATATGGTGGGAACTATAGTGAGCTTGGGAGTGGATTACCCGAAGTTGAAGGTAATCCGGGTGCACTAACTGTGTTAACTCCCATTGAAGGAGCAGAACGATATATAGAGGGGATTGAGTGGGTGGAGAATGTTGTGAATGGAGACGCTGACGAAGAAGGCATTGGTTTGGATAACAGAGACAGCGTGAAGAATGAGGGCGACGTGGATAACTCTATGGGTATTGGTGTTATTTATGACTATGTTGAGTGCCACCTGTTGAAAAAGAAACTCCTGTGTTACTGAGTGGGAAGATGGTTTGGGAATTGTGGTGTTTCAAGAATTTCCGAGTAAAGAAACTGATAAAGATTTAATTGATAAAGGATCACAACAGAACAATTTTGGAATCAGTATCGTGAACTCGGATAAGAGTCGATATGTGGTGAAATGTCGAGGATCGGATGAAGGTTGTATATGGGGTGTGAGAGCTAGGAGGATAAATAATTCTGAATCGTTCTCGATTAGAACATACATAAAGATGCATTCATGCTCTCGCGCAACTTCAAGTACTGGAGTCAAAAGGAAAGGTACACCAATATTTGTTGCAGCTATACTGCATCAATGATTTTCAGGGACTATTTGACACACCAAAACCAAAAATCCTGCGCGGAGTGGTGCAAAGGAGATTGGGTATCGAAGTGTCGTATGCGACGCTTTGGGGAGGAAAAAACAAGAAATTTAGGATATGCGTGGTAGTCCGGAGGAAGGATACAAGAATTTTCCTTCTTACTTGTATATGTTTGAGAAGGTGAACCCTGTTTCAAAAACAAGTTTTGTGTTGGATGATGGGAAAAGGTTCAAATACCTATTTGTTTTGTTGGGAGCTTCCACTGAAAAGTTTCAGTACATGAGGAAAGTCATCACTGTGGATACTACTTTTCTGAAGACTATTGAAGGTGGTGCTTTAGTTATTGCCACGGCTCAGGATCCAAACCGTCACCATTATCCTTTAGCTTTTGGTGTCATTGATGGGGAGAAAAATGAAAGTTGGAAGTGGTTTTTCACAATGTTGAAAACTGTTATACCGGATTCGACTAAACTGGTATTTGTTTCAGACAGAAATCCAAGTCTTATAAACGCTATTGCTGAAGTGTATCTAATGGCTGAACATGGGTATTGTATCTGGAATCTATTACACAATGTGAAACTTCGTGTCAAACAGGGCAGGGACGAGGTTGCAGCACATTTCAGGAGAATTGCACAAATTAATTCAGAGGCTGAGTTTGAAAAGGAGTATCAAGAGTTTAGGGGGAGGTATCCATCTTGTGCTAAGTATCTTGATAAAAGTGTCGAGGTTAAAAAGTGGGCGAAATGTCATTTCCCATGTGCAAGGTACAACATAGACACCTCTAATTGTGCAGAGTCTTTGAATGCGCTTTTTGAAGAAGCACGGAAGATGTCTTTACTGCCTATGCTTGATATAGTTGTTGACAAAATGGCGGAGTTGTTAAACAGACATAGGAAGGATGCAGAAGCCTGACCGTCAGCTCGAAAATTGGTTCCTTATGTGGAGTAAAAGAGTACCAAAAGGTGAAAAACTAGATGTGACTCCGCAGAACACTTTTTATCTTAATATTATTGGAATGTATGGGAAGACTTCTATAGTTAATCTGGATACTAAAAGTTACAGCTACCGGAAATTGGATATAGATAAATACCCATTTGTCCATGCAATAGACGCTGCCATAGCATGTTTGAAGCATGATAGACCAATAGCTATCTCTGAGATGTATGATATAATCTCGCCTTATTACTTGAT